CCCAGCTTCCAAAAATAACATTTTCAGTAAATCAGTCTCACATCCAAAACTAAAGTTTTACCTTGGGACAAATGTAAATATATATTTTAAAATCGCTTCCTTTTCAAAACATACTGCATATTTAACTGAAAAGGAATCCTACACAAAAAATTATATGGTATAAAGTGTAAGAATACGCAGCTTAATTTCAGTCAACAGATTCAATGGAGACTATGTGAAAACCATTAGCAGTGGCAACTGTCTTCGAAGATGTCAGCATTCTACTATTTAATGGTAATTTTGGTAATTAAAAGCCCCACCAAAGGCATCACCTCAAAACTATTTGTATCTACTATTGTATAACATGCCAGGCAAAAAGTAGGTCATACTGGCATGTGCCAAGACAAAGTAGAATTTCCCAAGCATGCCAAACCAAGAACCAATCACATCAGTGTCATATCTCTTGGTATTTGGACTTCATTTTACAATTACATTCTTGGGAAAACTTGTTTTTTTCTTTACCACACCTTGAATCATGGTCAATATATTTCCAGAAATCTATCCTTATAGCAGGTGTATTTAATCCCACATCAAATGAGATTTTATTTCAGCAGAGGGTTACTTCACTTTTCTAGAGTTTAGGAGGAAGTTTTGAAAAGTCAAATAGGGATTTGGGAATCTCAAAGAATACCACAGTGAGCTATAAAAGTTAACACAAAGTTGAGTATGTAGAATGAGATAACAAATATAATAATCCCAGCTTAAAAAGAGTGGAATCAATTCTGGCCTTTCCCCAACTCCAATGAAAAATGCACCTAAGTTTTTATTTTTATGTTCCTACCCTTTTGAATTCCTGGGCATGTTTTGGTCGTTAGAACTCATTGTTACTTCTTATATATTCCTTATACAGTATTCCATCTATTCTAGGATATATTTCAAAAGATGTATGTAACAGAACTTCTACAAAAACAAAAGCTTATCTAACTACAACACTACACAAAAATAAATCTGGTATGTGTTGACTAAGTGTTGTTCAAGCCATAAATTTTCTATGTAGCTTCTGAGTCTCTCATAAAATCATACCCTTTGTTTCCTGGCATTGTATGCTGTTTATTTCATACAAGTCACTGACTTTTTAGGACTCTTTAGCAAATCTAATTTTCTCCATTTATCCTCGAGGAAAAGACCTAACAAAAGAAAATAAAACCCTTTCTTAAAATCAACTTTGTTAAACTCCCATCTCGCATCTGCTTCTGAAATTCAGATTGTTAAAACACTGAAACATTTTATATTAGAGTCTACTTGTTTGGCAGGAAAAATACATTAGGCTCTTGGTCAAAAGAAAATCATTCTTTTCTCTGATAAGTTTAGAGACAAATCATACCTTACAGACTGTCACATACTCCTTATGGATGAAAAAGACCCCATTTTCCACTAGTATCCATTTTAATCTGAAGCTCAACATCTAATTTATTTTACAGCATTATTAATGTAAAAACAGCACACATGGAAATACAAATGGCTCCAACTCATAGCATGTGCACCTGGCATGAAACGTCATCTCTTTATGTGCAAACCAAGTGTGGAGGACCAAACTCCATTCATCATTCCAAGCTGAATTAAGAGGTGTGATGGAGATAAAGGAGCAGGTAACAGCTAGCTGTGCACTCTGGATTGCATCACTAATATTTAACCTCTCTAAACAGGATTCCTCTTTTCAGACTGATTTGATACAGACATAACATATATGAAAATTTAAAAGTTGAATGCTACTGTTATAAGGAAAACTTCTGACAACAATCTTAACAGATCTCCTCTTCTGGGTCCATAAAATCATTTTTCGCCTTCTCTTCATACCACTTAATAAAAGCTTCAACAGCACTTATAACAAACTGCAATAATGTATCATTTTGTTCACTCTTATTCTACTTGTCAAGTCTGTAATCCAAAGTGAAAACCTAGAAAATGAGAATATATCATCCAAATGGCAAACAAACCCATTTTATTCTAACCCTAATGAACTTAGGTTTAGTAATCAAGAGTTGTAGCAATCTTAGAAAACTTACACTGGCCCTATTAAAAACATACACTTTTATAGCACTGATGCAAAAACAGTGATGAGAGAAAACAGCTGTATCATTGGAGTTATTGTCTAACGTACTGGCTCTTTAGGGACAGAGCAAAAAACAAGAAAAGTACAAAAATACAACTGTCCCAGCATCCTCTCATCAACCACTGGAGGTTCAGGAAAAGAGCAATCTTCGAGTATGACTTCCAATGAAGTTTTAATTTCTAAACCCAATGATGACTTAGGTATAAAAGCACTTATCATTCTATTTCTGGAACACTTGCATAGATGTAAAAGCAAGCATTCTGATTTGTATTACTTTGTAAAATCAGAAGAAAGTTCCAAAGAAATACTTAATGGAGCAAGAAGCTCATTCTTTCTCACACACCCACCCCTTAAATTTCTATTAGGTCTTCTGTATCTCCCACTTCTTCTGTTTTCCAGCACCAAATCAGTTACTCTGGAATCGACAGATAAATACAATCTATTCATCTTAAGGCTATATACGAAATGAACAGTGTAGTTTATCAGCAAATGCAAACCTTCTAGATTACTGCACCACTACATTTTCAATCATCATGGACAACTGAATGTTAGAAGCCAAAAATAACACGAGAGTAAACAAAAACGTTACAGACAACAAAGGTGAAAGAGTCAAGACCACTGTTGAATGGCAATTCAACAAATCAACAAAGTAGGGCCTACTGCTTGGGCTTCCACACTCATTCTAGACTTCTAGATTGAGGCCTTGTTTACCTTCAGCAGTCCCTCGAGGTCCTCTATTAACACTGCAGTGTGTGCTCACAAGGCTCTCCTGGAGGGGGGGGGGCGCCTCAAAAATGAAGCCTGTCTTCAGTATTTCTCATGCCCATTAATACAAAACAGATGAATGGTTTTGGGTGTAAAGATGCAGAAAATTGAGACAACTGAAAACAGATGCTCTAATGGATAGAAATAGCTTTGGAGAAATGTCAGTTAAGTGACAGTCTCCTTAGGATAAAATGGGGCATCAGAAATGATACGTAGAGTTCAACTAAGCCAGCATTCTATGCTTACTACACTTAGAAAATTTTAAAAATACAAACCATTGAAAATTCTTAAGATACTGCTAAACCTAGGACAGGTAGTGATACAAAAAAAGTTATGGACAAACACTAGCACAGTAAATGAATATGTAGATAACTGAGGATAGAAACAGTCTGATTTGCTGCATCTTCATAAGGGAAAATGAAGTAAGTAAAATCTCACACTACAAACCCCTTCCCCAATTTAAAGCATTAAAGAGTCCTCACACCAAGCTAATTTAAAGGTTTAGTTTATACAATTGATAATTCTGCAAACCACAATATAAATGTCAATAACTACATAAATACTGTAATAAAAATAAACAGTCATAGTTAATTCTATAATGCATCAAGAATAACCTTAAGCAAATTGTGAATGAAGGCATATTCAATAAATTAGGGAACATCTTAACTGCTAATAGACTGGGAGAAAATTTTAAGTTTTCTATGTACACAAAGGCAGTGGGAACAAATTAAAAAAAAAAAATTACTACATTGTTGCAGCACATTAAAGACGGGGTGGTGTATATTATTAACAATTACATCCTATTTCCCCTAGCCTGGAAGAGAAAAGGAGTCAGTTACCAAGCACAGAACAATTTCAACATCTCATCTGAGTCTCCAACAGCAAGCAGACACTGCAGTATGTCATTAAGCAACTTACTGTCATTTCACACCATATGTGGCAGTAAGAAACTTAAAAAAAATTAAAAGGCACGCATAAGCTGATTTCAAATATTTTAAGTCCAGGCTACTCTCTTTAGATACAATGTTTTGAACACTTGTATAGAACAATTTTTAAATAAACATTTCCAAAAACTTGAATACAGAACTTAGGAACCATGAATCTGCACCAAAAAAAAGTTACATTGGAAAAAAAAAAATCATGAAATAATTACAGCTAACCTGTATTTAGAGATTAAAAGATTTTTAGGCAACCTATATTCTTTAGGAAAATAAAATGTTTGATTTTAGAGTAGATAACATGTTTACTAAAAGTTCTCACTACAGTACATGCCTATTTAAAATTCTACCTTTAAAGATCTTTAAACTGATTTTATATTGTTCCTTACCACAATTAGACTCATTGAAGAGCTCAAAACTAAAGCAATAGCACTTTTCTTAGCATGCACACACAAAATAATCTACCATTTAGTCATCTCATTAACTTATGTTTTCAATTTTTAAGAATAACCAAACTGTCTCAAAAATATTGGGCAACACTTTCTCTACTTGATGACATGTCTATGCATCTCAGGTAGCATTTTTATATGAATATCCTTTTCTTCAATGTTTTAATACCAGTATACTTAAACATATGTAAGAGTAAATGAGGCAGATTTTACTGTATAAAATTAGTCATCCTTAAGATTCCACATGCAAAAAAAAAAAAAAAAAAAAATTTCATAAAGTTCAAATGTGTCTGTCCTAAAAATAAACGTGCAAGTACACTACACAATGAAGATGACTTGACCATCTTAGCCTTTGACAATACAAAGCTAAGTCATTTCTGATGGCCCACTCTGAAAATGATCTAAGATTCCATAATTTAAAAGCATTTTTCTAGTCTTTATTAAGTATAATTCATGGTGATAATACTTATATCCTAAAACAGAGGCACAGGTTTGAGAATTTAAATCTTCTGGGTGTTGTTAGTCTTTCTTAAAGGTCACACTGATGCCATTTCATCTATTAGCATAAAGTTGATATTTGTAAAAATAGCCATTAAATACTAATTCACAAGTATATTTAATGTACATATAAACCCTATGTTAAAATTATAAACAAGAGGAAATATAAGTTCTAAGACTTCTAAATCGTTGACCATCAAAAAGTGAACCACCCTCTTTAAGACTTAACATAACTTTAAAAAGAATTGCTTCAACATATGAATTTAAGACTTTACTTTATTCAGCAAAATCATTTATTTACACAATGGGGAATGCTGGTTTGATTTTGTCAATGAAATAAAAACAAACTGAACAGAGACAATACTGAACTGTATATATATTTTGTATCAGAGTTGACCAACTGTTTCCTTACCTGTATCAGGAACATCAAGAGCAACAGTATCACAAGGACACTGGTTTAACAATACACCACATAGGTCCAGTAATACCCTGGGAATTTCCCAATGCAATTACCAACTTTTTCTTTTTTTATAAATATATAAAAAAACAAAAAGTCAGAAAAACCAGCATTATGATGTAGCAAACAGAGTATAACTCTGAAGTCAGTGGGGTCAGTAAAAGCCTTATCAGACCATCCATAGTTTTACAAAGTGATCTGCTCTTCCTCAGACCACCAATATAGAATCCAAACAGGTGAAAAATATATCACTCTTTAGAAGACAACAATGATCTGATAAGGATTTGACTTAGTGGAAGAAAAAATAATAATAAAAGGGAATTGCAGAGCATAGCCCCTATTAGAACAAGCTAACTTTCCGGATTTTACAAATTAAAAAAAAACAAAAACAAAACCAAAAAAACCACTTCAACATGAAGCTACCATACAAAGTTTTTCCATTTTTCTTTGTAAAAAGTTCAGAGTTTGCAATTTAATCCTGGGTTTTTAATGAGAAGGACAGTTTTGGCCTGGACTTCCCCTTGCCCAGGATAATTTTTTGTTCTTCTTTTTGTTGACGTTGTCGTTCTTGTTCTAGTTTCATCCTTTCCTCATGAATCTTTCTTTGTTCTTCAACAATTCTCAACTGTTCTTCAGCCTGAAAGGTAAAGGTAAAAATTAATGATATGAATGTATTAAAAATTATCATGTGTACCTCCAGAACAGGCCTATCTTCTTATGTATCTACAAAAAAAGTGTTTAATGCAAAAAAAGGGGGTAAGAACAAGGACTTTCTATGAATTCCATGCCTTCTCGTTATTTTGGTTATCAAGTGACAACTTACAATGACATGTGTCATAAAATTTGACTAAGGTCACATAGTTTAAGTGGTAGACAAAAAAGAATTGAGAAAATTAAAAGAGAACCCTTTATTAATTGTATTTACAATTCCTACCTTTCATTTTTAATAAAAAATGAACAAATTATAGAAAAGCGCTTATACATTTTGGAAATGGAAATTAATTTTTACAAATCACATGTTGAGATCACAACAGATTTTGTTCTGTACCTATTTTTATCTCTAACTTCAATGTATCAGATTAACAGATTATCAATTATAAACCAAGGCATGGATTTATTGAAAGAGTAGGTTATCTACCAATTACTATATTTATAGTTAGAAGGACTTACAAAAAAAAAACCCCACACAAGGAAAAAAAAATCTCCATTTGGGCTTTTGTGTGGTCAAATCATGCTGAAAAAAAGGGACTATATTATAGTATCAGTAGACAACCAAGAAACACTATAGACCCAATTACCTGAAGAAAACAATTAGAAAAACCTTCTGAACCTGGCTAACTATAAAGTGCTACCTAATTTCAAAGAGACACTGGTATAATTGATTCCACTCCTGCAGTGCCTTCAATTCCTTCCATGTCAAGCAACTTCTTTCCTGCATTCTTCTACAGAAGATTTCCCCCTTTACCAAAGTAAGGCCCTTCTCATGCTTCCTAGAGATATCATACACACATCTTCAATTCTCAACCAAGCACAATTTTAACCTTCTCCCCAAGGGGACATTAAGCAGTGCACGGAGATGATTCTGGCTGCTGCAACTGGGGATGACTCCTTGCATCTAGTGGGTAGGAGATGGGACAATGCTACACATCCTACAATGCAGAAGACAGCACCCACAACAAAGATGGCCTAATCACTGCCAAAGTTGAGAAAGCCTGTTCTAACCCTTGAATTTTTAGTATCAATTATCATGATTTATCCTTTTTCCTCTCTTATCTGACAGTGATGCTAAAACACTCACTGCATCCTTTGAACTGCCTACCTATTCCCACTCAAAGTCAAATTTTAGGTCATTGCTTCCATCTCCATTATTCTACTAAAATTATCTTCTGGATGGTCAAAAACTATCAAAATAAGTGACTTTTTCTTTATTCAAATAAATTCTTCTGTTCACTATGATTTTCCACACAATCACTTCTTTTGTCTCCATTGAGAATTTTTTAAAAAAATAAAGTGCAATGTGACTAGATTATACGCTTTATGACAGACGAAAATGGAAAAGGTAACAGGCCTCTGGTATGCAACACAAAACGTTTACATTTTATCTTAAGTAGCAAAAAGGGAAGAACAAAAAGAGGTGTAGACAGCAATGTGGTGAAGACTAAAAGGTGTTGGAGCAAATCAAAGTCAGTCAAGTAAGGTCGGAGATAACAAAGATGAGAATTACAAACAGTGAGAGAATCTGGCAAGGTAAGCAAGGTGGAAAATGCAACAGAGAGCTAAAATGTATCTTAAAATACACCTCTCTAAAACCATTTTCCTATGCTACATTTATAATACCTGGCTACTGGACACACCCACCTGGGAGACCTAGGACTTGCTTCAAAATTTAACATGTTCAAGATTTAAAATTCTTCCACTTTCTCCCTAAAATAAATCTGCCTTTTACACTTTCCCTTCTGCCACTCAAATTCTATTGCTGTGTTTCATCTCTTCCTTATTCAGTCACGTTAATTCTTGTTTTACATTCTTTACCTAGAGTTTACTTTCTTTTGTCAGCATACCATTTAGGGCCACGTTATCTTTGGTACATCTAAAATGGTGCCCATTTCCAGTGTGTCCTTCAATCCATCCTACACGACACTGCCAGACTCACCTTTCTTGACCATTGCTCACTCTTTCTTGTCCTCAAATTTCCAATGATACCTACTATCCATGGCATATAGCTTAACTTCCTAAATTGGCATGTTTCCCTAAGACTTAACATTTTCTGTAACCTGGCTTCAGCTGTGGTCCTACTAGTCTTCTATCTGGCTCCCCTTCTTTTGCTCATGCCATTCTTTCCTCCTATGAAAATCCTACTTGTATATCAGAATCCATTTCAAATAGCCACTCTCTTCCTTAGACTTTCACTGATAAGTACAACAAAAAGAATTACCTGCTTCCAGTTGTCATTAGTGAATTCATATGCCAATCACTTTATCCAGTTTTAAGAAATCACATTTTTTAAAATAAATCACACATTTAGGGTTAAGAGCTTAGTGTGTGCAACTGAATCAAGATGTAGTAGAGGTTCTTTGCATGTGTGCATGTGCCTAAGAAACATTTTATCAATATAAACACCCAGACTCACTTTCTTCTAAGGTTCTAGCTCAACCCTAGGAAAGCATACTAGAACTCTGGAAGGTGAGGGGGAAAAGGACATAAAGTAGAACATCACAACCTTAATCCGTAAGAGAAATCTAATTAAAATTACAAAGATACCATTTTTTTACCCTCTAAGAAAGAAATTCAAATGTGTGACAGCACATTGCTGTGGTTTCAACATGTCCCCCAAAGTTCATTATTAGAAATTTAATTGGCATTGTAACAGTATTAAAATGTGGGGCATTTAAGCAGTGATGAGGCCATGAGGTGTTCATCCTCATGAATGGATTAATTCTATTATCACCCAGGTGGGGAGTGGGTTGGTTACTGTGCGGATGGGCTCCTGATAAAAAGGTTAGTCCGGCCACGATTTCTCTCCCTCTAGGGCCCTCTCTGTCTAGCTTGCTCGCCAAAGGATGTCTTCCACCATGTGAAGACCTCGCTAGATGCCTATGCCATGTTCTTAGGCTTCCCAGCTTCTACAACCCTGAGCCAAATAATTTTTATAAATTACCCAATATCTGTCACAGCAGCAAAAAAATGGACTAACACACATATGCTATCATATAAAGAGCATTTTGACACCATCAAAATTGTATCTTCATAATACTTTATGCCAGCAAGTACATTTTCTGGAATTCACCTTATTATATACTTGAACACCCATGCAAAATTAATAAATTTACAAGGTTACATTATTACGAAAGTTTATAGAAAGAAAAAAAAAAAGAAATGGAAAAAACCCCAAACGTACACCAATATGGATTCACTAATAAATTATGGAAGCTATATAAAGCAGAATATTGTACAGCTGCTAGAAACAAACAAGAAAGAGGAAAAAAGGAGGCCCCTATGTTCTGCAAAGGAAAAAATCTCCAAGTTACACTGTTAAGTGAATAAAAAGAAAGTTCCATATATACATGCTACTTTTGTGCAATAAAGGAAGAATTAAAATATTAACACATTTGTATCTACCAGAATATGCATTTACAGACATTCTGAAAAGATTTAAAAAACCCGTAACTGAATACACCTTTTGGAGATGGTGTTGGTGTGGGGACTGGGGATGCGAGAAGAAGGGTAAAGGGACTTCACTGTTTCTCTTCCCAAAAAAACACAAAATTTGAACCATGTGACCATTTTACCTAATTAAAAACAAGTAAAGCAACTTCCTTCAGAGAAAATACTAATTCTGTACTTTAGATTGGGTAAAGAATCAAGTTTCTTCATTTAGGTCTACAAATACAGTTTTGTGTATGCATGTACAGAAGGGTTGATTTTTCTCTGGGACTACAGCTCAACAAGGTTAATCCCCAGTTTAAGCATACAGTGCCTACTAGAAGTATTTAATGCAATGATTTAAAAATGGGAACGTGAATATCCTGTCTTTATATACAAATACTGGTATTTTGTTCTACTATGGCTTTAAACTACTTACTCAATTACACTTTGATGAAATAAAACTATTCAAACACCAACAGTCATCTCATTTAATATAGTGTCTCTCAAGTGATGAAAGTTGGTTTCCTGTTCATCCACCATCTGTAAGTGTGGTATGATTGTATACCTTACTTGATAGGCATTTTCTTAAACCCTACCCTCTCTGCAGTAACTTTTTCTTTCCTGATAACTTTACTTGTCATAGAATATAACCACTGCTCCTGTCCCTGCTTGTTTCACATTTATGCAGAAGAAAGCAGTATTTGGATTGGGGGGTTTGGGGATGCATATACGTATTTATACAGATGAGAAATACTAAGCTCACTAACAAGTATTATGTGGTGGACAGCTTGGAGGCCAACGGGAAAACTTAACAACCACAACACCAGAACCATTACACTGGGGCAGATCCTCCTAGCCATTAAGCCCATAACCCTGGTTCAATCTCACAAAGGTGCTTTCAACCTTATAGCCCAAGCTAAAGAGTGATTGGTAAGAAGAAATACACAAAAATAAAATGTCCCATTATACTTAAAAGGCCTACTTACCCCTCCCAGTAATCTCTACCCTACCTTCTTTAACCAGAGAATTTACTGATTTTATAAAGATTACTTTTCTAAGCATTCTCCTCCTTAAACTGTCTATAAATTTAATCAAGGTAATCCCTTAGCAACAATCCCTTTAGCAGAGATACTAAAACCTAATATAAAATATAAAATATTTATATTTATATTTTATATAAATATAAAAACCTATATTAAATATTCTATTTAAATATATATAACAATAAAAATTTAAAAATCCAAACATAGAAACATTTCTTATCGAGTGATTATAGAAATAGAAGAAATACAGCACAATCAGAAACTATGCCACTATTCAGAAATGTGGCTTTCTACATTTTAAACCTTCCAAGAGAGCCTTATCCGCTCTGCCATTTTTAATTTTAATTCCTTCATCTTCCCTTCCATAACTTTTATAATGTATATGCCACTTTAGATAACCAAGGAATAAAAAAATATTTGATATGATTAGTTCTGACACTTGGTAAAC